GCTGACTTCACTCAGGCTGCCGCCGCCGCCGCCGTTGCTGCTGCTGCTGCCACGGCAACCGCCACTGCTACAGCAACCGTCGCCGCCATCCAGGAGAAACAAAACCAGGAGATGAACTATGGACAGGTGAGCAGAAGCATGAGGTCACTGGGGCGCCTGGGTTAGAGCTCCCTCTGCTGGTCCACTCGTGCAGGTGAATGAACAGAAAAACGCTGTGGGAGGTGGAGGTGTGTTTGGTGACGGGGTCGAGTTTAAACCTGAGGGCGGTGCTGGCGTCCCCGGAGCACGACGCCTCCAGCACAGTCCAGATTGGTCCTCTCTGTCAGCAGACGAGCATTTCCTCGCTTTTAGCCGAACTTGTGCTGAGGACACCTGTTTGATGACATCACCGATAAATTTGTTGTGGTTGTTTCCCAGATGGGTGGTCCAGCCTACAATAACCAGTTCATGGCCCACTCCGGCCCCCGCGGCCCTCCTGGCATGGCTCCTGGAGGTATGGGCCCAGGTCCAGGCCCCGCCAGAGGTCCCCCTTCAATGGGCCCCATGTACGGACCAGGAGGGGGCCCGCAGAGGGTCCCCCAGCACCCAAACTATGGCCCTGGACCACAGCAGGGACACCTGAGGCCCCCGCAGGGCCTCAAACGACCATACAGCTCAGAGGTGAGGCTCAGGAGTCCGTGCTGCTGACCCTCAGGTTACCGTGTCAGTGAGTGAATTCACACCTGTGTCCACGCCTTTCCCGCCCTCAGTCCTTCCCGGGAATGTCCCAGCAGTACGGCGTTCCCGTCGGTTCCAGTGTGAATGTCATGCCGGGTCCCGGAGGTGGCGGTGGATCCATGCCTGGTTCAGCTGGAGGCGGTCACGGCGGCCCCTACTCGGGCCCCAACATGCAGTACCACCCAGGTAGGACGCTGTTAGTCTCACAGGTCGGTCTAACGAGAACCCAGCCCTGCCAGTCCTGACAGGACAGGAAGTGACCTTAGCCTGGTCAGGTTTGTAAGGCTGGTCTGATGACAGGTGAGGACAGTCGGTCTGAGGTGTGCAGGTGGGTCCTCGTACCTGCCCACGCCAGAGTAAAGCTCACAGGGAGCGCTGGAGCAGAACGGGTTGTTTGTTTTCTTTGGTTTTACATGATTCCTGAAGTTTAACGTCACGACGCCATCAAACAGGATCAACTGCACCTGCAGGTGGTGTGAGGTGGTGTGAGGTGGTGTGAGGTGGTGTGAGGTGGTGTGAGGTGGAGGTTTCACCACAGCTGATGATGGGACACAGACCTCGTGTTCTGATGATTCAGGTGTGCTTTCTCCTCGTCTCCCTGCAGGTCCCGCTGGTCCAGGTCCCGCCCCGCCACGGTCTGGCTCCTCCCCCTCCTATCAGAGCCATAAAATGCCCCTCCCACCTCAGTACCCTCCCTCTGGGCCCCCCAGTTCGCAGTACTACAAGGTGAGCAGCTATACGGTGTTGTTGGAGCGATGGAGTCCTGAATGCTGTCACCTGTTGATTAACAGCTGATTGGTTTGTGCAGCAGGACCAGTTTAACGGGCAGAGCGGCTTAAACACTCTGACAGCAGGGGGCGCCGCAGGAGTGTATAACTCCTTCAACCAGCCATCAGGGGTAAGGAGAGCGCACACACGTGTGTGTCTGTTCGTTGTGAGTGTTTGGCTGATTTGGCTCCTCCCTCTTTAACACAGCTTTCTTCTTATTAGCTGCCCCTCCTTAATAATGAGTGGGTGGGGCTTTTATCCCCGCCTCTGTGACGTCATATAGACCGCTGTGTTAACCTGAGTGTTGGTGCACACACATGATCAGAAACACACAGAGCAGGAGACATGTGACAGGAAGTGAGGGCGCACATGCTGAAATAA